AGCACCTGCCTGGCAGCAGGATGTCTCACACTAAGACCTTGTGTTACCTTTTAGCCCAGCGTTCCAGCATGTCACAGGCTCTTGTTGCAGTATCTATATGGCATTTTTTTAACGAGGGTAAACCTAGAAAGATTTCACAAACAATTGTTTAACTTAGATAGAATTAGGAAAGAAAACATCACAATCAGGGCTTGTGCTTTAAGGTCAAGATGCTATGAGGGAGGTATCAATGCAGCAGTTTTCTTACATCATCTTTTCATTAAATGCAAAGCATTAGAAGTGTGAATGAGTGTTTTTTTTTTTTTTGCATGACCACTTAAGTAGTAATGTAAAAATTAACCACTGGCAGCTGGTTTATATTAGATGCTAGAGCTGAATGCAACAACTGGTTCCTCTGACCTGATTTCCTTAGACAGGAATTTCTCAAGCATCCTGACTTACATTTTACACACGTACGCCAGCTCCACAGTGTATCTCTCATTCCCTTTACATCTGGCTCTGCTGCTTTTCTGCTTTCCCTGACAGCACAAAGTGAATCTCACCAGTTTATCCTGCTGTTTATTCCATCAGATTCATGTTCGGCAGCACTGGTGAAACAGCGGCTTTAGAATATTTCACAGAAGACTGAGCTTGTTATTTCACCATTGGATTTGAAAACACCATTTTTTGTCATAAACAGTCTTCAGCCATATGACTGCAAGCCGAGTATTTTTTTCACATTCATTGATCTCCCTTTCTCAATCAATTCAGTAGCTTTATTTATGCAGCTCATTTTAAAAGCAACAAAGGCATACACACACAAAGTACTTTACATAAAAACAAGTTCCAACAAAACTATAAAAAAACGCACATAATATCAGGCAAAGGATGACAAACCAAACATTCTAAAATGCAAATTTATCAGATGTAAAGAAGTTAGAGGACAGAAATGGTAGCTATAAAAACCTGGATGTTCGTAAGCTAAGGTCAACAACTCTAAAAAGTAAATAAAAAATCTAGTATAAAATAAACAAAATCATAAAAAAATTGTAATATAGATGTACAGTAGAAGAAATCAGATTTCTACCCACACTGAATAAAAATTCTTTTTTTCACTTTCAGACTATGACACATACTATACTTTTGTTTTAGGACAGATGGAATTGTCAAAATTATTTTTATATTCCCTCTAAATTAAAAAAATACTCCACCATAATTCAATACTTTGTTCGAGTTCAGAGGTATGTTTCCACAGTGTTTAGTGAAACGAAAATTAAGACTGGAGTTGTGGCTAGACCCGCCAGAGGCAGTGCTTTAAGCACTAATTGGTCATCTTTAACCATGCTGATGTCGAGAAATAAAAATAACAATGTTACACTTGACCTACCAGTGAACAATGTGAGTCTTTATAATCACGTAACACCGAGAGCTAAGTCCTGTTAATTTTCTAATAAGCATGAGGATTTCCAAGGGTCTGTGCACTTTGGTAGTCATCTGAGATTTATATAACAGTTGTAAATTTCATTCTATTTCATCCCTACTTACCTCCAGAAGTGGTCCTTCACACACTAAAGGACTTATGTGAACATCACATACTGTACCTCAGTGGGATGTAGATAGATGCTGCTCCTGGATGCTTTGAAGGAGATGGGGCGCAGCCACATTCAAAGGAGCTTGGTGACTTTCAAGATGCTTCCCTGCATATAATGTCCAGCCACATGCCACTCATGGCAGAAAACGAGTGACATCAAACTTCCGCAGGCAGCCTTAGGTCCTTCAAGTATAAGGCTTAGTGATTAACAATGGCGGCTGCTGCTCACTGAACAGGGGAGGCTATTTAATTATTGAAATCAAACGTAATGTATTGCTTGTACAAATGTGAAACACATAAAACACATAACCACAACAGGTGAAAATAACTGTTGTGAAATGTTCTGAAATAATAAACTCCAGAAAAATTGGCAAGAGTTCAGTACTAGATGATTGTTTTATAGAATTATCACTTTTTCCTCTCTCATCTGAATCTAATGGGGAAAACCACAACTCTGTCTGGCTACTTTCAATCAGATCTTTTAAGGTGTTCTATCATTCAGCATTAAATAGCCGGCTTCATGACCTGGCCCTGCTCCATAGACCCCCTTAAAGGTTTAGCCATACTGGAAGTGACCGATTTTTGTGTGTTATCTGATCTAATTTCTTGCTGCTTGCTTCAATATAAGGAGGCTCAAGCCTTGACTGGGATTGATTGACAGGCAGCTTCAAGCTGCTCCATAGTGGAGGGAAGATCACACCCAAGAGTGTGCTCTGATCAATGCTCAAATGAAATCAAGTGCATTTTGGTGCACATTTAATTCAGTTTAATGAGTACAATATGAAGTTTAACAATGCACGTTTCACCAGTTATTTTAAGAAATTTACTGGGGAGGTTTAGCCTCCCTAGTTTTCAAAGAAAAAAGCATCACTAGCATCAAATCCATTGCCTAGTTTTCCAGCCGCTGCTTAGAAGAGCTAAAAATATTGCCCATATTACCAGAACATTGATGTGTTCACCTCTCTGCCATAGAGACCATGTCCCTTGTGCTGTCTGACCCTGTCAATGGTGCACCCCAGCACACTGAAGTCAACTTGCGGTCGACAAAGGAGAAAACCAAGCGGAAACATTGTTGTTATGAAAAATTTGTTCCTGTACTGATACCTGTACTGATTTGGGAGGCGATGGCCTAGTGGTTAGAGCAGTGTGCTTGTGCTCTGAGAAGGTTGCAAGTACCTGGTTCGATCCCCACAGCCTGCAGTCTGGGTTCCTGAACAAGACTCTTAACCCCACCCTGCTCCCCGGGTACCGCACAGTGGCAGCCCACTTTTCCCCAAGGGGATGGGTTAAAATGCAGAGGTAAATTTCTCCAATATGAGATCAATAAAGTTAATTATTGAGCTTTCCAAGTAGGGTTCAGACTCAAGCTGTTCAACCACACCTGGAGGAGGAGTCCTAAGGGAATTACACTAGGTACAGAAGATGCTGCACTAGTGGTGGTGCCATGGTGCTTCTAAATTCCAAGAAAATGCTCAATATAATCTCCACCCAATAGGGCATCTCCAGGCATTCATGGAGATGAGATTCATAGCAATGTCCAGGAAGATGATCTACTGTAAGGAAGACATCATGCTTTTCTCTTGATATTTACCAGCAGGCATGTTACATGATCAAGCACCAATTTCCTTTCATGGACAGCCTTATACTGGGTCGCTGCATGAGGGAGCCGATCATCCAACAACCCTTTCTACTTTTGTGTACACCCCGGAAGACAGACAACGTTCAAATAAGAGGACCCTTATCTGGAGGTTCTTCCCTTAGAAACCTAGTAGTATAAACCTCTATTTGGGCAGGTTTCTTCATTCAGTGCCTGTGCCATCATCAGGTCGCAGATAATGGTCATCATGACCAGACCAGGGACTGTGTACCGATGTCAGAATTGAAGACAGGAGAGGGTGGACAGCACCCACAAGTTTGGGGTGTATGTACAAGTGCTCTCATCATAAAAGTGAAGACCTGCAGAGACATATCAACCAGGCCTCAGAAGGAGGGGTCAAGTGGAACAGTTCGAATGAGGACAGGTCCAGCATCAGATGGAAGAGAGAGCTACGTTAATTTGTCAAACACAGTATCATTGCTGCGCCAGTGCTTAGCCACCCAATCCCCACCACTCTGCATCCTGCGGCTACAGGTGGCTCAGAGCATGGTTTCACTGGGTCAGTTTGAAGGTTTGCATAGCAAGGGAGGGAAGATATAAAGGCACAAAATAAATAAAAAAAATATGAATAGGCTTCATTACTAAAGAGGCAAACAGAATATATGGGTTTAGCAGAGAACATTGATAAAAATAAATCCTGGAGAGAACCGTAATAGAGACTTAAGATTGCTATCTTTGTTACAGTGCAATTTTTTTTTTTTTTTTGTAAATATTTGGTCTAAAACTGGCTTAATGTTAAAATGTTGCACCTGCACATAAAATTTAATGGCACAGCTTGTTACATGCTATGTCAAGAGCCCAAACCGGCATGATGGTGTTTTTAAGTTACCCTAGAACCTGCAATTGAAAATTAAAGCTACAGTATGTGTCCTACTGCTCCATAGCAGTGGAAGCACAGTTCACATTTTGAGCACTAGTGTTACAGATGTATTTTCTTTACAATATATTTTTTTCAAGGATACAGCTTTTGTCAGTTATGGTATTTTAGGAGTCGGGTACAGAAGATTTTAACTGTCAAAAGGATTGTTGGATTCATTGTAATTACAGAAAAGAAAGTCAGAAGCAAGGTAAATATGGATTTATCGCAACTGATATTGCCATCAAAATATTTTAAATTGAAGTCTTAATCTAATCTTTGTGATGTCATGCAGCCTCATAACTGAACGATAGTGTCTGTTTTTGTGCATTATGTGCAGCTGTCAGCTGCAACACCATGGTAAACTATACTATACTATACATATGTGGTTAAATTTGCAGCTGTTTTCAAATCATTGTTAAAGCAATTAAATCTTTTATCATGCCAAAAGCCGCACTGCAGCATCCTCTACTGCTACTGTTTGTAGCTGCCCTCTTGTCAGGTTTAATGCTCCACCTCACCAGGAATCCTTCATTTCCTTGATTATTTTTCTTTCTCTTGCTCCCCCTACTGTATCTGCCTTTCTTCCATTTTCCCTTATGCTATTCCTGCTTTTTTATTTTAACTATCCTTAAGCGCTACCAATATCTTCTGCTGGTAAGCACATTGAATAATTAAGCTTCTTGCATGTTTTTTGGTTGAAAACATACTGTGCAGGGTTGTCCATTAGCATATACATATAGATACACTGGTATAAAATGACTAGAGGAGGATAAGGAGGCATGAAGCATTGCGTCATGGGGGTGTGTTGAGTGGGAGGAGGGATAAACCGACTGTCAGTCAGTGACGCCAGTGGAACACGTGCGTCGGCTATGGCAGGGAAGACGTCGTGCAGCCCGTTATCTGGCTGTGGGCGAGAAGAGGCAGAGGCAGCTGCAGCTCCCTGTTGCGGATGGGTTGATGGAGGGGTTGTACTGTATGTCTGTGTGGAAATGAGTGTGTATTTGTGTGCATGCATGCCAGTCTCAGACTGTGTGCGTGTAGTATTTGCATGAGCTGCAACCGGAGCTGCTGCTGCTGCAGTTGGTGAATAAGACAGACAGGGAATCGGAGTATGGGTAGCATGAAAGGAACCAGATTAATAATGCATAGTGCCGGTTGCATGCTCTGCATTAGTTAGTTTTACTGAGACCTGTGGCTGCCTACAATCTGCCTGACTCACTGACTTCTGACCTGCCTTTCTGCCTGCTTGACCAACGCAGACATGTCTCACTACCATTTCATCAAATGTTGTAAGTAGCACCTCAGATAACCTTTCTTTTTCCCCTGATGACATTTCTGTTGTGTTTTTCATTGTATCTAGTCTATCTGTGCTGTAGCAGTGGATTTACTATAATAACTTCTATGCTTGATATTACGATCATCTTGTAGCAAATTATGGTTATCTGCTCTTCATTGTAGCACAGTCTGAACTTTCAATTGGCATTTCCCTTGGATAGTGTGCCTGCTGTAAGTGGGTGTGTGAGCATGCTGCAGAGGAGCCGCTGCAGATGTGAAAAGTTGACCAGTGAATGCGGCAGGTAGCAGCAAAGGAAAGAAAGATGAAACAGAACTGCAGAGGTGCAGATCCCGTGAGTGTTTGCCATGTCGACGAAGCATAGACAGACCAATGAGAGAGATTATAATTTAAGTCAGACAGAAGCACAGATGGAGGAAGACTGAGGGTCACACTGGAGCGACAGACAGAATGGCAATGATTTGAAAAAAGGACGCCAAAATGGGATGACTGGCACTGAGAGATAATGTTGCAAAGGGGTGACAAGCAGGCTCAGATGGGAATATGAAAAGGATGGTCTGGAATTTAAGTTGAATTGCAAGAAAAAAAAGGGGGAAAGGAACGGATTGATGAGATCTATTAGCAAGGTGATGCAGAGCTTTACTGTCCCCATTACTTTAAGGACCTTACCCTACGTGTCAATCACCTTGAATCGGCCCTTTCAGTGTAAATGGTTTGTTTTCCTGTGTGTTTGCATGTATGCAGTGTTACATATTACATTGTCCCACACTGCTATCCATAGTTTTAGATGGAGCCTGCATGTTCTATGTGTAATCAATAACTGATAGCTTGGAGATGGCGGGGAAAAGCTCATGCTCTCTTTCCCTCTCTCTTTCTCTTGCTCAACATTCTTTCCATTTCTCATTCCTTCATTTATACTTCCGGTTAAACCAAACATCTGCCTCTCATTCATGTTTTCATGTATTAGTCCCCAGCCACTCATCATAGAGCAGGAATGGTTACAGTGGGATCCTTTAGTGCAGACAATATTTACATTTGAGATTGGTTTAGGAAAAAATTATGAAAGATTTGTTAGAAGCTGTATAGTTTGTATTTAAATATACAAACAGCCTTCTGTAGTATATAAATATGAAAATATATTTACAGTTGATAATGCAGAGGTTGTGTAAAATTAGAGCCAAGGGAATCAGCTGTAATGTATTTTTTTTTATTCCAATGCAAAATATTTTTGAAATTATTCCATCTGATCCCTGATTGCTGATATTTTGGATCTTTCTTCAAGCTGCTGAACATCCCCTGATGACAAATGTTACGCAACTCAGAGTTTAAGCAATAAAGAAATATTTATTAACTCATGAAAATTAACAATGCAAATAGATATATTCCCATTGTATTTTATCTCAAGGCATGGCTGCAAAATGCAATAAAGAATTGCCAAGCTGATATTCGTCCACGTCTAAGACATACTAGATGACTGTAACTATAGAGTAGCACATTATTGCAGCTGCAAGTATTTCGTGGTTTATCCCTTCCAGCTTTACCTAGCCAGACATTCAGATGTTTTCCTGTTCTTTTCAAACAAGTCAACTCTGAACAACTGAATGACAGGCTTCTTTGAGCAGTAATTTTAGAATCTTGCCAAAGATCACTTGTTTAATTATGGTCTGACTGTGTCACTCTAAAACACGATTATACCCTTAATTAAAAAAAATAATACTAGTTATATATTTGGCTCTGGCTGTATGCTCAAGTCTATGTATCATTTTCTAACCAGCCTCCCTGCATCGAATGAAGAAAAACCTTCTTACAGGATGAATACTCAAATACCACATTCCTCTGTGCTGATGCTCTTTTTGTTAAGTGGTAAATGGTAAATGGCCTGTACTTATATAGAGCTTTTTCAAGTCAGGAGACTTGACCAAAGCTCTTTACACTACATTCAGTCATTCATCTAGTCACACACACACACACACACACTGATGGTGGCAAAGTACAATGTAGCCACAGCTGCTCTGGGGCTCACTGACAGAAGCAAGGCTGCCATACACTGCCATACACCAGTTCCTCCAACCAACGTCAGTTGGCAATGCAGGTGAAGTGTCTTGCCCAAGGACACAATGAAAGTGAAAGCCAGAGCTTGAACCGACAACCCTCTGTTTGCAGGGAAAACGTCTTCATCTGACGCCACTGTTGCCCCCTCGTATTTGGGGGCAATGTGTTGCATATGCAACTGTTACAACTGTTACAACTGACCCATCTGTTATTACCCAATAGTTTACATACATTTTAAATAGAAACACATTCACTTGGTAATTTTTTTGACTAATATCGGGTATCAAGTGCAGTTGCCGTTAATTCAAGTAAGTATAAGATGATCAGCCAATGTAATGAGTATTTTTTCCATGAAAATGAGACTAGGTAAAAATTACGGACTTGAAATAAAATAATGAAGTTATTTTTAGTTGTAAAGTTTTGCAGTGCTGCCACATGTAGCATCTGTCTTAAAAAGAAATCTGTTTTAGCAGACAAAAAAACTTTTTTTTTTTTTTTTCTGCTAGATACACGTGGATCTTTCTCTACTAGAGCATTACTAGGAATTCAGAAATAATTGTTACTAAACAGACATACCAAGCTATTGTGAAAGCTGTTGTATCAGCTAAAGGTTCCTTTAGTTTGCTACCTGTAAGTTGCAGGGCAAGTACATTGAAAATAGAAAGTTTATAAAACCACACATAAGGATTCAATTTTAATGGTAACATTGCTTTTTTGCATGGCACTACCTTCTGCTTTTGCCAGGACTTGTTTATAGGTAACAATGCATCAAACAAACTTTAAACATGTTTTCAAAATGAACAAGAAAGGCGGTGCTTCTCATTACTGATTTCTTTTACTGTCATTTTTTGTTCTGCTATGGTATTTTTAAGTGCTTACAGCTTACTTTGAGTCTAACAGTGAAGCTATAAGCAGCTAAATCAAGGAAAATAATCGATAGTGAAACAGAGAGAGTTTTTTTCCCACATCATATAGTTGACAACACCGCTATATACCTGCAGCTTAGTGGAATGGGAACCAAATAGGAAAAACTGTTGTATTAAAAAATAATGCTGAATTTGTTTATGGATTCTGACACGTATTTCCGTTTTACACAATCACTAAACATCTGGTTATCTAAATTAAACAATTGGGTTTTCCCTGTGCTTACTACCTTATCTATGTTGGTTTTTGCTGAGAGTGCTCTGCCCACTGACAGACAACGTCCCGAGTTGAGGTCAGCAGCATACCACCCCCACTATAAATAGTGTTGGTACTGCGCTGCGTTCTTCTCCTGAGACTCCGGATTGTGGACCAGAATCACTTCGAAGCCGTACGGAAGTCTTTCTCCATGGCCTCTCCGAACTCTTCCCATACTCGTGTTTTGTCTTAGCGACCAGCCGAGCCACCTGCCGCTTTGACTGCAGGTACACTTCAGCTGCTTCCGGAGTCCCATTGGCCAATAAAGCCCGATAGGACTCCTTCGTCAGCTTGATGTGTCCACCAGAGTGTTTGAGGGTTGCTGCTGCCGGATGCACAGAAAACATTGCGGTTACAGCTCCGACGAGCTGCTTTAACAATAGAGGCACGGAACATGGTTCAGTCATACTCAGAGTCCCCAACCTCACTGTCCGTCGCCCCCATGCACCTTTTTCTCCTTTGGCATCTTTTTCCTTCTCTTTTTAACTATTGAGCTGATGTAACAAGTACATTTCTGTACTGTGAGAGCAATAAAGTCAATCAATCAATCAATCACCAGGGGCAACTCCAGAGTGGAAGAATGTCGATTACCACCCGAGGAGTACCAGAACCAGAGCCATGCTTTGTGTTAAGGCCGACTATCTCTAGCCAGAACCTCTCAACCTTGCACACTAGCTAAGGCTTCCCCGAAATAATGAACAAACTGGGTACAATACACTTTAAAATATTTTGCTTTAACTTTGAGTTTGTTTTTTTTTTTTGATTCAGCAATATTATTAAATGTTTGAACAATGACTACTGCAATTGAATTTTCCTATTGGTTAAACTGTAAATGCCTGTACATGCTCACGTCAGTCGTACACCACAGGTCTCCATCCCAAGTCCTCCTGTCATTCTCAACTCTCACCCATTGGCTGTGAGACTCACACATCTCAGTGTTTTCACATGCTCTTACTCCATATCCACAATTTTTCATGCTAAAAAATGACGAACATTAAAACTTAACTTCTTTTCACTTATTTATATATAGAAATACAATGCTGATAAAGTTCCGTCCGTGTTTTCAACACAATCTTAGTGCTAACACACAAAGACATGCCAGGTTAACAGCCAGTCTGTATTTATACATCAGCCCACCTATTCACTGTGCCAAATATTGAAAAAAGACTGGCATTTCCGAGTGGTTATTATTATGAGGTATGTCATTGCATTTTTATCTTGTCCTTATCTTATCTGGAGTAAGATAATTCACTTTGTAAATTAATGAAGATTTTAACCAATCTAGTACAGAAGCTAGCTTAAATTATCAATGTGGAGAATGAGTGTAGGATCACATCAAACTGACATCAAATGGTTTGTTTTCTCTATACCTAGTTCTTTTTTAGTAAGCTTTACTCTTTTTTTGCTCTAATTCAACCACATGATTTAGTCCAAGTTTAGTCCATGGTTTGCTCACAGGTTAAATAATAATTATTGCTCAGTCTAGTTTAATAATCTCCCATTGGAATTTAGGACTAATTAAATCAACACAAATATCTAAATTCTTAAAGCTTTCAGTTATGCTTTACAAACCCATAGGATGTCCACTTAATCAGCCACCCAAAAAAAGACCAACCATACAGGATACGTAGAGCATGTGTAGAAAAACTCAGTTATCCCGGAACCATAGAGAAGGAACCACAGGGATGTTCTTATTTTATTATTACTTATCTTATTTATTTATCCATATTTTGGTCCACTGAATTTTTAAATACTTAATCTCCATCACATCTACCAAAATTAAACAACCAGGGAAGTGCTGTCTTATGTCATTGAGAGTTTTTATAGAATCTACAGCCTCCTACAAGGTCTGAATTGTTTATTTGTTTTGTCAGTTGTAAAGAAACTAATAAG